TTATAAGGCTTTTCTCCAGTGTGAACTCTTTCATGAACTTTCAGGTTTCCTGCTATACTGAAACATTTGCCACACTGTCTACATCCGTAAGGCTTATCTCCAGTGTGAACTCTTTCATGAATTCTTAGGTCTGCTGCTACCCTAAAACACTTTCCACACCATTTACATTCAAAAGGCTTTTCTCCAGTGTGAACTCTTTCATGTACTCTTAGGCTTCCCACATTCATAAAGCACTTGCCACACCGTTTACACTGATAAGGTTTTACCCCACTGTGACCTCTTTTATGCATTCGTAGGCTTTCTGCCATAGCAAAAGACTTGCCGCACAGTTTACATTCATAGGAATGTTCTCCTGTGTGAAGATTTTCATGAATCACTAGATATCTTGCATGCCTAAAACACTTGCCGCACTGTTTACATTCAAAGGGCCTTTCTCCAGTGTGAACACTTTCATGTTTCGTCAAGTTTCCTTTCTGGCTAAAACACCTGCCACACTGTTTACATTCATAAGGCTTTTCTCCAGTATGGATTCGTTCATGTACCCTTAAGGTCCTTGCCACCCTAAAACATTTGTCACACTGCTTGCACTTAAAGGCCTTTTCCTCAGAGTGAACTCTTTCATGATTTCTTAGGTTGCTAGATACCCTAAAACACTTGCCACACTTTTTACAATGATAAGGCTTTTCTCCAGTGTGAACCCTTTCATGGTTCCTTAGGTGTACTGTTTGACTAAACCTTTTGCCACACTGTTTACATTCATGGGGCTTCACTCCAGTGTGAAGGATTTCATGGTTCCTCAAGTTTCCTGCTTGGCTAAAACACTTGCCACAATGTTTACATTCAAAAGGCTTTTCACCAGTGTGAACTCTTTCATGAATTCTTAGTTTTTCTGCTTGGTGAAAACACTTGCCACACTGCTTGCACTCAAAAGTCATTAATCTAGTGCTCCTGCTATCCTGTTATGGTTAGAGTACCTATCAACATAAACAAAAAACATCAGGTAAAGGTACAACTACAAGTTTTTTTGTAGCCACCAATTTCAATTTTTTGGTTGGTTGGCTGGGTTCTAACACTATGCAAGAGTGTCAAGGGAGTCTAGAAACCAAAATTGGAAAACTTGGAAGACCTGTCAAGGCAAGATGAATAATGTACCTACAGTCATTAAATAATTCTGACTGGCCCCCTAGAGACATGCATTAATAAAGTTAACTAAATAGGTTTGTGTTGTTGACTTTGTTGGTTTATGCTGGAAGTGTGATTAGCTTTATAGCTAGTTTGCAGGAACTCTACTTGAATAATTAGAAACAAATATATCAGTCATAGAATATAACAGGATTAAAGACCTTAACCAGCAGGAGGCAACCAGTAAGGCTATTCAGAAGCATAGGCAAAAATCTGAACAATTAAAGCTCACCAAGTGGCATTAGCGCTGCCGAGAAACCTGAATAAAGCTAACATGTTTATTAAGAGACAACAGTGGGAGATTCAGGAGTTTCACTGTTTACTAGTAAAACATTAGAAAGTGCGGAAGAAGAAAAGTCCATCAATAACAGAACACCCCAGCCCACACACTTTTTGACAGAAAAATTTGCATGCCATAATTTTCAGTTACCAAATACAGCGCTAAATACTATTTTGAGATTTTGCCCATTATATAATTGCACCTGGCATATCAAATACAAAAAAACTACTACATGTACCTTACTAACTACTACTAAACTTGACTAAACTCCACCTACCCAAGTCAACTGTTCTCTTCTGTAAACTACTTTCAATTAAGTTACTGCTGCAACAATATTTTACTAAACCCAACTCTTACCAAATTCTTCTGTGTTAATCAACTCTATACTGCTAGCGATTTATGATACTGCCTGTAACCACTCAGGTCGACCCACCTCTTATAGACGCCACTAAAGCTACAATCTACTGTACGCTCTACTCCACTAGACTTTATTTTATCCACACTGCTTTTTAAAACTTTTTGACCTGCTCCCCACTTTACATTATTATATTCATTTACCTTACACTAATCACCTTTTGAGCATCAGATTTCATGTGTAGTTTTGTGAGACTTTTGATGACCTTTGCGGTAAACAAACCCGGAAGTTTGGACATTCGTTCTCTCCCAACTAACTATGAACTACAAGTAAATGACTGTCGCTATTTCAAGTTCTTGTAGTTTTATTTTTAGTTCCCTTTTGCTGTTTGAAACTCGAATAGTTTAAGGTGAAAACGTCAAAGCAGAAGACGAGGGTTCAACTGTATAATAATTATACAGCTGAAAATGGCAATGAGTTGATGCTGCTCAGTGTCTTTTGCAAAATTTGATTGGAAATTAAAAGCGTACCATGAAGTTCAAAAGAGCATTATGTAGTTCAAATATGAAATGGGCTCACTAGGAGTCATGCCCTAAATATTTTGTTTTACTATCCCATTAAATAAAAAAAAGATCGCATTGAATAAACTCAACATGGGCTTTTTAAGTGTTCCAAATTTGGTTCCTTGATTAATTTTCAGTGTCAATATCCTTGGTGTCAGAGTTTGAATTGTTACTGGTCAGTTTTGCTTGATCAAACTCCACTGCAACTTGAAATGGAGGGGATAAAAGAAAGAGAAGATGGCGAGAGGGGTGGCAGTGAGTGATTATTTGAAGGAGGCAGTAATATTATTTTTAATATTTCCAACTAAGGGGGTGGTAAATTATTTGAGGGAGGCGATTAATCGAGGGACAGTTATCATTTGAGGAAATATGATACACAGATTTTAAAAGTGTTAAGTCAAACTGTCAGTTACTGTTAGTTTTTGCCCGTTTAACGAAAAAGTGTTAGTATATGTTTTCCTAGAGAAGGTCGCATTACTCACTTCCACACATTTTATGGTTGTGGGTTTAGTACTCTAGGGTACTAGCAAATGTGAGGCTAAGATTTGTAGTGATCATGAAGTGGAAGTAGAGTGGATGCCAGTACTAAACTTGCAGCGCTGTACAACTCCACAAAATCGCTTCAAAATAGCTGTACAGCTCAATTACAGCTGTTCAGCAGCCTTTTAGAAGCCAAACAGCAGCTTTATTCAAGTTGCAGCGGGTGCCGCCTTTGAAGGCCCTTTGAAGCTCTCAGCAGCGGTTTTGCAGCGCAGTTGCTGACCCATACGAAACAAGCAGGGCTGCTGCAGCACTGCAGAATGGCTTCAAGAAGTGCTACAAAAGAGCTGTAAAAGCGCTAGGCTGCAGCAGTCGCAAATTTTGGCTGCAGCAGAAAGCCCTTTGACAGCGATAAACAGCGCTTTCGCAGCAGTGCAGAAAATTCCGAATCACGATCTGCGCTGCAAAGTGGCTTTGAAAAGACAAAGAATGTTGTTACCGGTAATGGCCTATCACTCATTAGTACAAAAAATAGAAATGCACGCTCCAATAATACAATAATCATGATACATGGTAGAGGAGTTGACAAGGCCTACTTTCAAATGCTGTGAAGTAGCTGCAGTAATGCTACAATTCAGCTGTGGTTGATCTGACTTTCTTGAGCGCCAATAACATGAATCGCCAGATAAAGCCTTGGCACAGATTACGGCTTTTATAACTCAAAAACTTTGACTGTACCTCTAAAAAATGTGAGTAAGCTTGTGCGCAAGGGAGATCACTTATTGAATAAACCTCCAAATTCTATGCTTTCGAAATAAAGATTTCAATAAATTTCATTCCGTGACCGGCGAGTGTGGGAATGTTTATCTAATTGGTCGGTCCTTCTGCATGAGATCCCATTACATCTCTAGACAAACACAGCTCCCAAACATTTGCGACCATTGAATGATAGGCGCAATTAACATTCTAAGTTTTTTTACATCTAGTTCTGTTTCGAGATGGAAGTGCTGTTGATGTTTTTGGATGGAAGAGCTCAAACGTATTTGCAAACAACGCACTGAACAGTGACTTCTATGCTAAGTATCGATGAATCGAACCAGAGCAAGCAACACAGATACAAGAAATCTCAGCTGAGGTTCGCACTTGCAAGATTCTTATACGCTCTTGGTAATGTATGTTTCTTAGTCCATTGTAAAATTTAATGACGACCAGAGTAAAATTGGGTTGATTTCTTTCATGAAAAAAGTGTAGAAGATCATGTCAAGGTGAGCAATGTCCAGCTTTTATCCCGTTGCAACGAATCAAAATATCATTTGGCTGCTGTCTGTGTAAACTTTATGTAGAACAATCGCTGTTATTCTCTTTATTTTTAAAAAAGATAATTTTCAATGTCTTCATGTTAATGGATGTTTTTACATTAAGATGAGTGACCGTGATTGCTAAATATTTACAACGCGAGACTGTTGCAGATTTGTTGTATGCCACGTGCTTTTGTAACGTGTACGCCGTGGATGCTAATAAAGTATAAGTTGCATTTTGACTCTGCTACTAAGGCCTTGTCAACTCCTCTACCATGTATCATGATTATTGTATTACTGGAGCCTGCATTTCTTTTTTTTGTACTAACGAGTGGTAGGCCATAATACCGGTAACAACATTCTTTGTCTTTTCGAAGCCACTTTGCAGCCACTTTGCAGCGCAGATCGCGATTCGGGAATTTTCTGCACCGCTGCAAAAGCGCTGTTTATCGCTGTCAAAGGGCTTTCCACTGCAGCCAAAATTTGCGACTGCTGCAGCCCAGCGCTTTTACAGCTCTTTTGTAGCGCTTCTTGAAGCCATTCTGCAGCGCTGCTCGTTTCGTACGGGTGGCATCGTTCATCAGTAGAAAAGCTTACAGCTTGGTAGTGGTCTGTAGCTGGCAACTTAAACCGGTAATTACATCTCTACGACTGAAAAAAATCTTAATTAAACGTATTTGAAAGCTTGTCTTACCTTCAATAACCAGATCTGGGCGCAATTACACCTTTCAAACCCGTGGTTCAAGTCCGACCCAGGCCTTCCACACGGATGAAAGAAAACGAGAAATCATGGACATGAAATCCCAGACTCCTGTGCAACCTTAACCACAATCCATTCCAACATGGCGCCTGTAGCCGAACCAAAGAAAGAGAAAGAAACTTCCGACAAGAAAGAGGACACGAAATCCAAAGATGGAACCAAGAAAGAAGAAGAGCCCGAGTTGGTAAGCACATTTCATTAGCTTTTTACAAACGTCTTTTGGGGTTTCGCTGAAAAATACGACAAAGCCTTAACTTTTGACAATGACTCATCATGACCAAGTTTTCCTCGCAGAGCACAACGTCAATTTTCTTTTTCAGTTATAAAAGAAAGGTTTCCTTTTTCATTCTTTCAGAGCGAAGAGGATAGACAGCTTCAAGAGGAGTTAACAATGCTGGTCGAAAGGTTGTCGGTAGGTATTTTACGAAGATACTTTGTGAGACGTCCCTTTTGGCAAATTCGGTACAGTATGTGGCCCTCGGTCCGCCGTGTCCAGGTTAGGCTTTTGTACATTATGCTAGCATTTTTTCGAGCATTTTAGTGAGGCAAAAGCATTGAGCATTATGCGACCATTTTAGTGGCATTTTCCCCGGAAAATTAATTTTTCCGAGAAAATAAAATAGAAATTAACTTTTTTCGAAGACTAAAACTCAAAATTACAAGAAACCTAATACAGCTGTTTTTTTGGCTGTATTTATGAACTTGTAGAGGTTGTCGTTTTTACTTGCAACACTTGCACGTTTTTGTAAGTGTAAACTTTGAAATTAATTTAAAAAACCGTTTGTATAATGAGCATTAACTGAGCATTTTAGTGACTTTTTTGGGAAGACCGAGCATTTTAGTAGGAAAAATGGAGCATTAAGGTGGAGCATTTTAGTAGGGAAGCAAAAGCATAATGTACAAAAGCCTAGTCCAGGTTGGTCCACGACTTTTCCGAAAATGACAAAATATTTCGTAGAGAAAAAAATGCGGAGAAAAATGAAAGATCCTGTGATTTTCTGATTAGCAATCCTTTCATGTGACGAAGTTTCGGCTTTCTTGCTGTGCACGAAGGCGAAAATTATAGTTTGTTGATAGGTACAGTCGAACCTGTATTAAGCGGCATGGTAATAAGCGGTCATCCTCTATCAAGAGGTTAGTTTTCAAAGTCCCGAAACTTACTTCCCTTGATGTACTGTAATTTCGAGCTCTATTTAGTGGTCACCTTTTTTAAGAGGCTGTCCGCGTAAGAACCGATAAGGCAAATTTCGGTCTATCACGGATTGCCCTGATTTTTTCAGTGGAAGATAACTATCCTATCACATGAAGAAATATCACATTTATTTGGACCAACTCAATTTTTTCTCTATTTTACAGGAAGATTTTCTCGGTCACCTAAAACTAGCCAGTTTGCCGTCGGAAGTGGTGCGATATTGCTGAAACTTTAGGGCTCTGTCAAACCTACCTTACATGGCCGAATAAGCTGATTATTTTACACACAAAAGTTTTAACTCTGATCAATAGTTTCAAGGTTTAATGGTTGCATTCTGTGGAAAGTTGGCTGGGATATGTTTTTTTTAAAATGACCTTTAACTTGCTCAGGAGGAAAAGTAATTTGCATAACTAGAGCTGAACGGTAATTTCGCAAAAGTGGCACCTGACCCAGACTCAAGTCTATGATAAATCAGAAGTACTAAGACCAGTCTACTTCTTAATGCAATAAAATTTGTGGGCACTCTTCTTTGCGTGCCGTGCAAAGTTCCGTTAATGTTCCAAAATTCGCCATTTTGATAGCAAAGCTGGAATTGTAACGGGTCCGCATCTGATCGACTAATTTCCACAGCTTTAACGTTTCTAGATATCACTAAATGTCATTAGACCCTTTAAATGTTGGACGTTTGAAAACATGTGGAGAAAACTTAGTAATCGCTTTTCCTTGGGTCTTTTTCTTGTCGACGATGAACGTGACTTCGTTCTCCGTATGCAAATTAGCCGTGATGCGTTGTTTCAACAAATTGACAGGAAATATAATCCTTGCATTTCACATTTCTAAGGGGAAAAATAACTCTCCTTTCCACAGAAAAACACAAACCATGACTTAGAATCCCCTAAGGTCTGCTTTTTTTTAACGAGGAAGAAGCAGCTGAATAATATATCATGATATATGTTTGCGTGGCTTAAAATAATTCAATTACTGTGGTCTGTCATGCATTCCTAAAGAGGGGTGGTCGATTAGAAAACAATAGCGTTGTGTCCATCAATTCTATAATATTATCATCTTTTTTTAAATGATAGTTATTGATAATAATAAAAAATAAGAGTTCACTTGCAAGGTAAGTCCTCTTGTCAGCACACGAAAATTTTTGGGCACTCCTTTTTGCGTGCTTAAAAAATAGCGTTAACGTTGAAAGTTTTATTATGATATTTGCTTATCAGGAGAAGGCAGATCTTTGTACATGGCACTAAGATAAAAAAAATGCCCCACACGTTTTCTATCTTAAATTAGCAGTAAATTTCAGTTTCATTCAAAGATCTTTAAAACGTTTATCGGCAGCAGAATGAAACGGGAAAAATAGTTCCTTTTTTCAGTGAATAAACGCAGAAGGGAGTATCTTTTTAGTTTTTGTTAGGGTATAACATCCGAATTCCAACCATGATCTTGTTTTGGTTTCAATGTGATTGAATTATAATGCAACAGGTTCCAGTTTCAAATATAATTATGTCAATGAAATCGCGAAAGAGATCAATTGTGAAAAATGGCTTTTTCGGCCATTTCATCAAGCAGTTCTTCCGCGAGATCGTAGACAGAGCGAGGTCCCAGTAGGGGTGTGGAGGAATATCATTTATGCACTCTGTGACCAACACATATTACGTCGCACTTAGCCAGCTGTCACTTGTCTAAGTGTAGCAAGTGTAGCAAAGACAATGAAAATGAGCTCATTTTAGTGAGAGTACGTGTTCGAGGCTTGGTGGGTATTCGAACTGAAATGTCAATCTGCCCAAGGCACAGACACTAAATAGACCCGCCTCCCCTCAGGCTAACACTAAAATGACAATCTGCCCAAGGCACCGAACACCTACTTGGCAGGTTTTTGCGAGCGCCAAGGTCTTGTTAGGCTCGATTGTAAGCCGCTGTTCTGGAAAATGAGCCCCCAACGGACGGGAGACGGCGGAAATCGAGCCTAAGGTCTTGTCAATAACCCGGTCACACTCTGGATCATACTGGCAAAATAACTTCTGTGGCAGGAAGACATGTCGTAAATTTGCAGATAGCCAGCGAAATAAGTCAAAGTTTTGTTCCATCGGCGTAAGTATCATTCTTTTTTTTCTTCGTGCAAAAAAAAAAGTCTCTTAACGCACAGAGATATTCTGATTTCTCTATTTCACATTTCATCTTGCGATGTTTTCTGAAGTTCGTTTCCAGTTTATTTGAGCTTGCAAAGATAGTTTTTATTTCTATTTTTTTGACAGCAGTGTATCTTGCCCTAATCAATTCTTACCTTTAAAATGCTATACATACCGGTTAATCCGTGTGTTGTAAAAGATAGTTTTCTGATGATTGTTTGAAGAGCATTATAAATGGAAAAAAAAGAACTTTCTACACGGAGTCAGGATCCAACCTCGTCCCCATGGCTTTCCCGCCCATGCCATTTTCTAAGAAGAATGTCCTGGGGACGAGGCTAGGAGTGATTGTGGTCGACGTGTCGTATAGCCGATTTTCTCCTCCTGTCGCAAGAAACTTGAAAAATCTTGACGCTTGGGTCGAGAAGAGTACGATTGAACAGTCAGCAACCATGTCCACACATTTGCCGGAGAGGATTATTGGACAAGATTTCTCTGTTTTTTGTTTTGATATCGTTTTCATTAAGTCTTCAAAAATGCCTCCAGATTGCTGTTTTTTTTTTTTTTGTTTTTTTTTTTTTTGTATTTATACCCTCTTGACCAATGTGCTCCATCTCATCTCTCCATTTTTAACCTACCTTACCATCCACCCTCTCTCCCCACTGTTCCACCTCTACTTTTACAAGCATTTGTACTTAAGGGGTGAAATTTCTCCCGTGTATATTAATTTCTGAAAAATTAAGTCCTTCTACTTTTTCCTTAAATTCTTAAACTTAGTTCATTTTTCTTTAAGAACCGCCAAAGATGCTGCTAAGGCTGCAATAAAGCGCACTCGCCCTTTCATATACTTCATCTAGTGAAATGCCCACCTTTCTTATACCTGAATCCTGAAAAGATACTCCTTTGGGGCGGAACCTCCCGTATAAGCCATCATAGGGAGTTCCCCCACCCCTGTTCCAATTCCGTGCTCACCTATTGCCAGCCCATGTTGGACTCTAGGCCCGTTTGAGTCAACACGTAAACATAGTCCTAGGTGTATACAAGTTGAACTTGACCATAGAGATCTGTTGCAAGAAGACAAGGAGTTCGAAAGGCAAAAGCTTATTGCCGAAATCACTGAAGAATTGAGACCACAACACCCTCAACCAGAAGCTTTCAACCTATGTGTATGTCAAAGGAAGAACAACCTAGTCAGTTCAACGTGGTAATGCTAAAAAAATCTTGTGTCACTTTAAAATACCATTCAAATCCAGGGAAAGAAAGGGAGACCTAATTGACAAACTTTCGCCTTTTCATACAAGATTGCAAGTGCTTTTCTCCATCAGCTCAGGAGTGAACATAGGGATCCTTAATTTAGTGTGATTAACAGCCGGCAAAAACTTTTGGGATTTAACAGGAGACGGACAGTCAATTTTCTGCATGCCATTCCTCATTTTTACTGAAATGTTGTTAATTGGCGATAAACACAATGCTCTGTTAATACCACCCTAAGGTTTGTAGGGTAGCCTATAGTTAGCTAGGGATTTAGGAAATCTGTATGCTGCTTTAAGGACTTTGCAGGCGTGGTCCTGTGGTGTCGCACGGTATTTCTGAAGTTGTTTTGCAGCTATTTCCAAATATTAATAGTTAATTCTGTAATTGAAAATATTGTGCTAGTGCTCGTGAATGAGAGTGGCCGTGTCCAAGTGACTACTTTGTAGCTAATTGTCGGTATTACACCATGGGCTGTCATATTAAACCCCATCCTCACGGTGGCGCCCGGGGATACTGACTCAGTTAAAACGGTCGTAGAATGAATAAATACAACAGCACGGTATTTCCCACCCAGTAAAGAATCGAATTAACATTGATTAAATTGTATGATTATCAATAACTATCACTTCAAAAAAATATAATCAGATAAAAGAACTGATCGATACACGGCCACTCTCGGGAATGCGTGACGGGCCACAGCAATTAAATTATTTTAATTCACGTAAACATGTCTTCTTCTACTGCTTCGTCCTCGTAAAAGAAACAGACCTAAGGGGATTCTAAGTCATATATCGCTCGTGTTTTTCCGTGGAAAGAAGAGATATTTTTCCCTTAAAAATGTGAAATATAAGCAGTTATGTTTCCTGTCAATTTGTTGAAACGACATCTAAGGCTAATTTGCATACGGAGAATGAAATCGCGTTCTGATCGTCGACAAGGAAAAAAAAAAATCAAGAAAAAGCAATTACCAAGTTTTCTCCTCATGTTTTCAAAAGTCCAACATTTAAAGGGTCTAATGACATTCGGTGATAACTAGAAACGTTAAAACTGTGGAAATTAGTCGATCAAATGGGGACCGTTACAATTCCAGCTTTGCTGTCAAAATGGCGAATTTTGTAACATTAACGGAACTTTGTACAGCGCGCAGAGAGAAGAGTGCCCACAAATTTTATTGCATTAAGAAGTAGACTGGTCTTAGTACTTCTGATTTATCATAGACTTGAGTCTGGGTCAGGTGCCACTTTTGCGAAATTACCGCTCAGCTCTAGTTATGCAAATTACTTTTCCTGCTGAGCAAATTAAAGGTCATTTTAAAAAAATCATATCTCAGCCAACCTTCCACAGAATGCTACCATTAAACTTTGACACTGTTAATCAGAGTTAAAACTTTTGTGTGTAAAATAATCAGCTTATTCGGCTATGTAAGGTAGGTTTGACAGAGCCCTAAAGTTTCAGCAATATCGCACCACTTCTGACGTTAAACGGGCCAGTTTTTGGTGACCGAGGAAATCTTCCTGTAATATAGAGAAAAAATCGAGTTGGTCCAAACAAATATGATATTTCTTCATTTTATAGGATAGTTATCTTCCACTGAAAAAATCAGGACAATCTGTGATACACCGAAATTTGCCTTATCGGTTCTTACGCGGACAGCCTCTTAAGCGGTTGCGGTCACCATTTGCGAAGTCCCAACGGGACTTTTTCTGATCTGTTGTCTTGACCTGTATTAAACGGTCACACGGTGTCAATTATTTGTTCATACAGTTTCAAATAATGTAACATGCGAGAGATCTAATTCTTTGAACTGAATTTCTTGCAACCTGTATTAGGCAGTCACCCTGTATAAGCAGTCACTTAGCCACTCCCTGAGAATAACCGCTTAATACAGGTTCCACTGTAGGTTAATTTGTCTTTCTTGAAGTTTGGACTTATGCAGCGCCGAAAATTACATGGTCATGTTTACTTAGCTTGTGAATAAATAAAATGCAACAGAAAGATGTGCCTTTTTGCAGAACAGGTTTTCAGATCAACCTATTTTTGCTGTTGGAAGCATATTGCTGCAGACTGTGAGAATTTTTGTTTTATCGACTCTCGAAAAAAATCACCAAATGTTGCTTCGTGGTCCTTGGTCCTCGACCCATGACCTTGGTTGAATAAAAAATAAAAAGAGCAGCCCTTGTTTTCAAAAAATGTTTTGAAAATCTTTCCTATACATGTCTACAAGTTCTCTTTTTTTAATACCTCAAATACATATGCATACAGAGTTTGAAGTAATTATTTTTGACAGTGCTGAAAACCACTTGTGTGGGAGACTCCAGGGAGACTGTTGCCTGAAGTCTTTGAAAGAAAAGCAGATTATTTTATACTCAAAACATCTTCAAAAAAAACTATAGCTTTATTGCACCAAGAATGGAAAAAATATATAATATGTTGTGAAAATCACATTTTCATTTTTGTGCTGTTTACCACACATTTGTGGATTATCATTCGGCAGTTCACAATAAAAGTACCCGTTAAAACAGCCAAACAATCAATAAGTGCTGCTCTTGATTAAGCAATGCCTCTTTCTTTATTAGAGGAAACAGCTTCACAATCTTCATAAAATTAATGTGGTTCCTAGATTACAGTTGTAGAATGATCACTGCCATATTATTTGACAGATAGCAGAGTAGCATTTCAAATTTTATAGCAGGTCATAGTAAGACATTGATAGTCTAGGAGAAACAAACTAGAGCATTCCCACATTTCTTAATAAAATGATATTATTATTCAACAGGAATCCAATGTATCGTTACACAAACCGGCACTGGAAGCCCTTAGATCACAAATCAGAGCAAGCACAAGCTCAATGACGTCAGTTCCTAAACCACTGAAATATCTCAGACCACATTTTGCTACACTGAAAGAGATTTATGTCGAGTGGGGTGATGGTGAAAATAAGGTACATTGTAACTGTGATCTTTAGTTTTTTTATTTAAGGAAATGGCAGGAATGGGACTCATATGTCTAACGCGAGTTGCCATCCCCACCCTATCCCACAACCTGTAAAGGTTGGCCACACCACTGGGTTTTGTCTCCTACTAGCGTTGTCACAAATTTCTTCTTTTGTTTTGTAAGCTGTCTTTTTTAAGGCAAGTAATTTTTAAAGCACAGTGTGTAACAATCAGAATTTTTTTGTTGGCAGCATTACAGTATACTGAAATTAAAATATAGTCATTCTATTTTACAGCACAATGAGGGCTAAAAGAAATATGCATTTTTAAACAACAGCCATATTAACTGCCACAGAAATTACACAAACAGGATATTTATACAAATACATGTACTCACGTGTTCAGATTGATCGATTGATCGATTGATCGATTGATCTTTGTGTCCTACGGCATGTATGCCATGAATTATTTTGCGTCTTTGGGGATTTTTATGTGTCAGGGACACAGGACGTAGAGGTAACAACATCACTGTTGCTATAAATACCAGTTGCCAAGGGTAAATAACAGAAATTATTTTATATAAATAAGACAGAGTGCTTAATGTATAGCTTCTCCTTCATGAATGGGCTCTTTGCACAATGTGGTCACATTATACGAAAGACACCTTGCTGGATGGCGAACGATGTGGTATGACCATGACAAGAAAAGATATTAGCTTTTTGATTGATGTAATCTTTTTGTTTTTCTTGCTCTTTTGCATTGTTTGCCATCCAACAAGGTGTTATTTTGTACCATGTAACTGTTTTGTGTAATGGTCCCATTATGTGGTGGTTCAGTTTGTCTTTTTTTTATTATTCCTTTTTTTTCTTTGTATTGGGGTAAAGTAATGTGTTTGGCGATTCATTTGAGTGCAATAATGCTGAGTGTATAGCTACTCCTACTTGTATGCAGAGAAAAAAGGGACAAAGGTAGCTGTTTTTTCTGTATTGTAGCGATTCCTGGCTGACATCATCTCAGTTCTTGGAATGACGATTAGTGAAGGTCGTGAATGTCTGAAATTCAGGATGCTTGGGTCCAAAGAAGAACTAGAATCATGGGGACATGAATATGTCAGGTCAGGGTTAAAACTACAATGTACTGTATTATAGTGCTTCAACCCTCTAAGCTCTCCTATTCACAAAAAATTCTTAAGACTGATCTCTTACACATTCCTTAAAGAATTAGTGGAGTGAATTTGATAAAAGATCAAAGTATATCCCCTAGGTGATCATTTGCTTCTCACGGGAGTGTGTTAGTTAAAGCTGCATTAACTAAAGTATAGACTGGATGTAAGTACATTGTACACGACTGTACACCTTACTATCTCTGGTGATCTACTGCTGTACAGTATACATGTAACATTTTCCATTTTTTATTGAAGCCTTACAGAATAATAACAAAAAGCAGTCAGCTAGTCCAGACTGCACCAAGAAAAAGGAAAAAAAAATTACTGGACATATCTAAAGCAAGCCCAGTCATAAATTCTGTTTCTGTCCAAAATTTAATGAACACTGTTAGTTCCATGTATTAACCAAGTATAATCCAAGGTGTGTTACATGTTTCAGTAAAGCTTGTTTTCCCATTTTGAGCCCAAACTTTGCATCTTCTCTCAAAGGCGGGCTTTTCCTTTTAATATTCCCTTCTGTTTGATCTAACACGAGCCTGAGGAGCATACATGTATTATTGAGTGTACGCCAAGTTGTAATTCTGTTTTGCCGAGAAAACAAGAGCTTTGGGTATCCTCATAAATTATACCCAGGAGAAGGCAGTCTGGTCAGGAAAACTGGTGGAGAGAAAATGTTTTAAAAACAGCATAAAGAGCCTAGCCATCTTTTAAAAATTTTCATTGTACTGTTCCTCCCAATATGATTGACTGCCCCAGGGTCTCTAAGGATGGGCTTTAGGAAGCTTTGCAAAGGATTTGAATAGAGAATTTGTTTTCCTGATATTAATATTGTCACATCAAATTTTAACCATATAAATTATGACTTGAATTCCCTCTCAGTACCACAGATAAATCTCTGATGGGCTTGTTTTTAATTTCCCCTTTTTGAACCACAAAAAATTAGGAGGTCAGGCATTTGTTTTGGAACTATCATTTTATTTCGTCAAATCCACAGACACTTGGCCGAGGAGATCCGTGGAGAGTATAGTGAAAGAATGGATAAGGGGGAAACAGTAGAAGACCTGGTTAATCTTGCTAAAGAAATAATACCATACAACATGCAGCACAATGCAGAGACTGAGGCATGTGACTTGCTGATGGAGATTGAACGTCTGGATTTACTTGAACAATATGTTGACAAAAGAAGCTTTCAGCGAGTATGTCTCTATCTCACAAGGTCAGTTTCCTTTTTATCTTCTTAATTCGTAGTTGTATTATTGTCACCAGACATTGAATTTTCACAATCTGAAGAACTGAATTTTATTAGATGCATAAATTATGAGGAAATTACAAAAAAGTGGTGCATACAAAATAATGTAAATTATGTTTCATGAAGAATGTTTATCTCGCTTTTTCTTAAGAAAAACCATTGACACTAACTATCAATAACTGCAAAATACTGATCATCAAATTGATTCTTGCTGCAACTTTAGGTGCCATTTTTTTTTTCACTTGCCATTGCAAACAAAATGGTCACAGCTTGGAGCACTGGCTTTTGCTGTTTGCAGTGGCTCTTTATTAATTTTATTGAAGGGTTACAGTGACAGAGTGTAAATGCTTTACTCCATCTAATGTTGAATTTTCAACCACAATCTTTTGCTTAAATTGCCTGAATTTTTGGTACCTTTGAAGTTTTGTGTGAGAGATTTTGAAAATTATAATAGTAATGGTTTCAAGTTATAATAGAGGATTTTACTTTGAGCTGGAAATTCTCTCAGAGGAATGGAATGTGCACTTGTACTCTACATGTATTTTCTGTTTTTTCATCTCTAACATAATCATTTATTTCCTCTCTTAGCTGTGTAAGTTATGTACCAGAACCAGAGGATAGCACACTTTTGAAGACAGCACTAAATATATTTAGAAAGTTTGATCATCAACCAGAGGCCATGAAGTTAGCTATCCAACTAAATGATGTGGAGCTCATCAAAGACATTTTTGTGTCTTGCACAGGAAGGTACAGTACTATAATCCAATCATCCGTTACATTGTATATTATCGTGGTATGTCCGAGTTTAAAATAATTTTGTTGTGAAGTACATTTGTACATCAGACGTAATTTTGATTGACCAGTGGGAGCAGTTTTTCCTAAGGCGTGAGTTCCTTTGTAAGGATCCAGATCAGAAGTATGATGCAAGATCACTCACATCATGGTGCATCATCAAAGATACCAACAAATCCTTTTCCTGATGGGTCTTAATAGCAGTTCCTTTAATGAATGAAGAGCTAAACTATGTTGGATCATAATTCCCACTCTGGATTGCCCCTGAGGATTTCACCCCAGATACATGTATCCTAAAGTAAAGACAGAAGTCAATTGTAAAGAATTAAGCCCATTTGAGTTTTTTTAGACTGATTTTGAGGTGGCTGGATTGTGGATGAAGCAACCTTTTGCTTGCTTGACTTGAGTTCTCAAATACGCAATAATCCTTTATGAATTTTAAAACGTAAGTATGGCTAAAGTAAACAAAATCTTTTAGTAATTCGTTTGGGTATCCAAAGCTTCTTCACAGCCAAGATTTCCTTATTTCCTCCTGCTCATGGATTGTTCATGAGTTAATTGTCCAAACCAAAAATGCTTTAAACATTCAACATGTGGATAAGACAAGAGAAACCACAAAGGTTGTTTTCTTCTCTGCTTTTTTTCAGTGATGACAAAAAATTAATACAGAAACAAATGGCATTTATGTTGGCAAGGCAGCAAATCTACCTGGAACTGGATGAGAGCATGGATGATTATGATGACTTGGCAGAAATAATGTCCAATGCACATCTGAACAACAACTTTCTTAGCCTCGCTAGGGAGGTAAGATAATATTATTATCTTTTGCATGGGTTCTAATTTTGAGAAACAGACCATGACAACTGCAGAATTAAAAAATTAAATTTCTCTTTCCTTTTGAAGCCAGTTTGATTTGATATGAGTCTCATTTTTTTGAGCATGTGGGATCACTTTGTGCTATATAAAGGTGATGTCACACATGACGATTTGCTGCAACACTTTTAAGTGCAGTGAAGCTTTGCAATGTTAGAACAATGTTGCAACCATTTAAAACAATGTCACAACAATGTTGTAAATAATGCCAGGTTTTGCTAAAAATCATTGTTTAACATCACCTTGTATTGCAGTACTTCTGCTGTCCAGGGATGTTTATGTTCAAAATAGCAAGTATACAATGAAGAACACAAGCCGAACCAAACGAAAAACTGTGATAGGCATGCTGTAGTGCTCAGAAATTGTCAATGTTACAAGACTTTCAGTTCTTTCCTTGTCATATCCTTTCATGGGGTTCCATTTGAAAACCCTACCATCGCATGATTACCATGATTAAACTTTTTTCACATTAACTGAATGATCTCGCTCAACTGAAATGGATGTCAAGAACTGTCAACAAATGTTCTTGGAAAAAAAAAAACAAGTTGAAAACACTTTTCCATGGTCTATAGTCTTATCCGCCCTAAAAACAACGTGAAAATGTTCAAAAGTTCCAAGTAAAACCACTTGCATGTGGTTCATGGTTCACTGTTGACAGTAGTCAGAGTTATTATAGGCAGCACTTTCCTTTCAGTCATTTTAAGACCCTGAGTATTGCTCCAGATGAGAATCAAACTCGCCCCAACTACCTTAAAGTGTGGTACCAGCTGAGCTAACTATAGCCTTAAGTTAAGTGAAACCCCGTTAATACGGACACGGGTGGCGGCATAAAAAGTGTCCTTATTAACAGGTTGTCCATATTAAGCGGCTAAAATTTAGAGAAAATGTAAGCGCTTTTCTTCGCCATGGACAAAGCAAACTGTCTGTGACAATGAGGTGTCCATATGAATGGATAATTTTCTGCTGAATTTAAGCATATTACTCTGAAAATTGTTACTTTGCTCAACTAAAATTTGCATTGAAACTATCAACCATGAGAGAGTGAGTCCTGATGTGTGAATTTTATACCTTTTTACAGTTGGATATAATGGAGCCCAAAGTACCTGAAGATATTTATAAAACACATCTTGAAAACAAAGGTAATTATCACCTTGTCACTTGATAGGCATTTTTATTACTATTTCTTAGAAAAGATTATGATTATTTGTGTATTAAGTTCCCATCCATTTTCAACATAAACTGTAAATACTATAGTACACTTGCATGAACATGGTTTTATTAGTTTTTAAATTGAGTGCTTATATAACTAAAGTTATTTTGTGGTGTACTCTTGAAAACCAAACTACATAAACTATAATCCGTGACATTAGAACTTAATTTAGGTCAAGTGAAGCAATAACGTTGCCATGTTGTGCTCGACCTCCTTTTCCCAGTCTCTTTCAATGTTGGCCTCGAACTTGGACAATTCCACTGAAGAAACCATTACAAAACAACATTGGAAGAGAAAAAGACAGGTATCAGAGCAGTATGACCCAAGTTGAGTGTCCTTGGTTGCAGAATGATACTGTGAGTTAGCTTTTATCAAAAGCTGTAGACTTAGCTTCTGGAGAGATACAAAATAATGTCTATTTTTTAATGTGCAGGGGTTTCAAGTGGTGTGGCCCTCGACTCTGCTAGACAAAATTTAGCTTCTTCATTCGTGAATTCGTTTGTTAACGCTGCTTTTGGTACTGACAAGTTATTGACAGAAGATGGAAATAAGTGGATTTACAAAAACAAAGAGCATGGTAAGCAAAAGAGACATTTGATACAGTGTGGATAGGATGGGGAGACCTTCAGGTCATAGGTTATAACATCAACAAAAACAAAAAGCACCGAGTGCAAAAAAGATAATTATGTGCATATTATACTAGATGCTCCTTTTCTGGCTAGAACGCTGCCACTGTTGCCTTTTTAGTGGCTGAGTACATTCTTTGATTGTTGTTTTTTTTTAAGGGAGCTTTGTCATGCTATTTGTTATCTTTTTGAAGAGTTAACACGTTTCTGTTCATCAATTGAATTCCAAAAACATTGAGCCCGTGTTTTGTTATTTAAGACTATTTTTAGGTATTGAAACTGTTGCTGTGGATGACAAGGATACACATGGATTGAAACTGGATAAAATTGGGCCAATTTGTCCAAGTTTCAATGCTATGGCGGCAAAAATAATCTAAAATTAATCATGATTAGTGCTTCTTGAAGAATTTTTTTGTGTCTTCTTCATAGCTCTACACGAGTTGAGGGTAAAGGCACTAAAATTAATGTGATTGAAAAATAAATTAATCGATAAATTAATAAATAATGATTTGGAGGTAGCACATCCACAAAGTGGTTCTTCGTCTACCTGATTCCTGGTTGAATTGGAATTTGGAAATGTTGGTTTTTGAGGAGGGGAAAACCGGAGTAGCCGGAGAAAAACCTCTTGGAGCAAAGGAGAGAACCAACAACAAACTCAACCCACATATGGCATTGACGCCGGGATTTGAACCCGGGCCACTTTGGTGGGAGGCCAGCGCTCTCACCACTGCGCCATCCCTTGCCCCCAAACTTGAGCACTGAATTGACCCAAAACAGCGATATCCTCTTGACCTGGCCCCTATGAATTCTCTGAATTTGTGCATTTTAGGCATGATGAGTACAACCGCTTCTTTGGGGCTCATTTTGTTATGGGATGTTGATGCAGGACTCACACAGATTGACAAATATTTATACTCAACAGAAGACTATATTAAGGTAGTGTACGTTAAAAGCAGTATGTTCATTTAAAATCAAGATCTACTTACCTTACATTTACGGTATTGATTTTTGATTAAAATTTATGAGCTGGGTGTTGAGCACAAAGTAATATATCGGTGTTTTAAGTATTTTAAATAATTTTTCATTTCACTTCAAAAGACAGGTTTTCTGACTTGTTTCTTTTTCTCTTTTTTTGGTCACGATCTAATCAAGCTCCACCTCTACATGTCTTATAACTGTTAACAATACTTCCTGCGTGGGAAGTGCATTGTTCTTTTGACTTACAGTAGCTCACTTCGTGTTTCGTGGCATCTATAATAATCATAGTTTTGAAAGCCAACCACAAATTGCGTGTGTTATCCTCATCCAGATGCTTGCTTTTAAAACTGTCAAATTGCTTGCTTCCTGGTTAGCTGTTGCTTTGCTTTAGTTCTTACCTTTTCTTTAGAATGATGTTCATGTTAGTTGGACAGCTACTTAAGTTAAAGCAGATTATTGAATGAGGCTGGGTAGGATGTGAAGAATTAAGCAGATTGAGGAGGATGTTATCGGCCGAGGCTGAATTAGGCCGCGGTGGATAACACCCTCCGAGATCTGCATAATTCTTTACATCATACGAAAGCCTAATTCAATAATCGTTTTATTATTCATTCAAAATATTTTAAAGGTCTTAACAAGCTTATCTCCTCGTAGACTTTTATTATTTTATTATTGTGTTTACATTATAATATTACTTACCTTATATTGGGTTTTCGTACACTAAGTGTCTATTCTTGTCAGGCTGGTGCGCTATTGGCTTGTGGTATTGTGAACTCTGGAGTGAAGAATGAATGTGACCCAGCCCTTGCTTTGCTATCAGACTATGTTCTACACAATAATAATATCATGAGACTTGGATCTGTCGTTGGGTAAGTGAATATCCTTGGTTTGTAATCATCGTATATGCATGATCTGTTTTTAGTAATTCTTATCGATTGCCCGCTACGACTTGAATTAGCACCTCTACATGTACCTTGCTTTCAAGAGTCCCGGATCTGATTATTGGGCTGGCTGTGGCAAATGCCAACCTAGTTAGTAATTGATCCGGAAGAAGGAAAAAACACTTTTTTTCAGATTGACCTGGAGAGAGATGAGTTAAATTGTTTTTGCTCCAACGAGTCCTTTGTAGTTCAGTAGTAGAGCATCTGCTCCAGTAAATAGAAGGTCATAGGTTTGACTCCTGTTGGGTGAAATCAGATTCATTTTTGTCCGTGTCACTGACAGAAAAAATAGTGTCGTTACTTTTTTTTACTTTTTTTTTTTTTCCTAGGCTTGGTCTAGCGTATGCAGGTTCTAACAGACAAGACGTGTTGTCTCTAATTCTTCCTGTTCTAGCTGATCCAAAGTCAAACTTAGAGGTGAGGATATTTAGTTTTACATTCATAGCTGGTCGGGATCTTTTATAAAATAATCACACTGTTTTTCAGGTCATCGGTATGGCAGCAATCGCTTGCGGTTTGGTTGCCATAGGAACATGTAATGGTGATGTGACGTCAACCATTCTTCAGACAATGATGGAACGATCGGAGGCGGAAGTCAAAGAAACGAACTCTCGTAACTTGGCATTAGGACTTGGGCTGACCTTCCTGGGTAAGATGCATGTTTGATTGAAGGCAAAGCTGAGAAGTAACATTTCTTCAACACATCAACCCATTCACACCTGAACTGCTCGTAACCACCCTTGTCGACTTCTTTTGTCCCGCTAGTTACGTTGTTTGAAAAATCTTACACAACTTTGGCACGCAACTTCTGCTATGGGGAAGAGATTATTCAATTTCAAACCCTACCCGAATAAGCATGATTCAATCAGACAGGCCTTAAAAAGGGCAGGAAAAAAAAATGCAAAGTACTGCCTTTAAAACAATTTCATGATCAATGGGTTCTTCGCGAAAACGTTTCCTATCGAAATGAAACAAATTAAATCCCCAGCAAAGAAAACGTAAGGAGAAAGAGAAGGAGAAGAGGCGGGAAGGTGAGAAGGCGCAGTTAAAAATCTAGGAGGCAGTGTCACTTTTACATCTCGAAACTTGGCCTTCCGCGCATGTAATTTAGCATCAGGAACAGAGGGCAGCGAAGTACTGGACTCTCCCGCGGCAGGTAAGCTCAGTCAGTTGAGTGCTTGACTGTAGAACGGTTTCGATTCCCGGGGCCGGACAGATACTCAAGGTCTTGAGATTATTGAGAAATGAAGGTACAGCCTTTGTCCTGCAAACTTCGAGACTGTAAATAACGTTTTCGGGCTTTTTTGGTTCATTTTTGTCCAGATAGTGACCAGAAAACGGCTCGAATAGCTTCAAACGCAGCTCTTGCGGCGAAGGAGAAATTTTATGGTCACTGATAGCATCGCGTTTCTAAATCCTTTCTGTTTCGAGTTTAGGATTAAATGTAATTCGCTAGTACGCATTGTTTCTGAGTTTGTCACTGCCCTTGACGTTTCAGTTGAAGCTCTTGGTTTGTGTTTTCAGGGAAACAAGAAGCAGCAGAAGCTACACTAGAGGCTCTGAAAGTCGTTCCTGAACCGCTTGGAAAGTGGGCTTCTATCTTGGTGGAAATCTGTGCTTACGCTGGTAAATTTCACCCATTTAAGTTGTTTTGAAAAATCGATAAATTGTACACAAATTGTTGAATTGACTAACTTACTTGTGGAGGAAAGTTTCATAATTCATAACACAGGAGAACGTTTTAACTGTTTTGTTTGTTTGTTTGTTTGTTTGTTTTTTAAAGTTAACGTGGAGCCTATTTTAAGGACCCTCAAAACTGAACCATTATAATTCACTTTCCAAGTTCAGGGTCAGATTGTAACTTTGTTTCGGGTGTGTCCTCCTAGCATGCGTAGCAAGCGTCAGCAAAGAAAGACCGAGGAACGGGATTTTCGGTTCTGGCCGCGCGAAAAACTCGTTCCTCGTTCCTTGCTCCGAAACCAAACGGAAACGCCAAATTTGTAAGTCACTGTTGTTTGAAGGTACTGGAAACGTTCTGAAAATCCAAGAGATGCTACACATCTGCAGTGAACACTTTGAACAGAAGGACGAAGAAGAGAAGGAGAAAGATTCCAAAGATAAAGACAAAGATAAAGATAAGAAGGCTGAGAAGTCAGATGATGGCAGTCATCAGGGTGTGGCAGTGTTAGGTATCGCTTTAATGGCCATGGGTGAGGAGATTGGTGCTCAGATGGTGCTCAGAACATGTAATCATTTGGTATGTGTCCAGGACAAGTCACCCTTTAAAACTTTTCTATCGTCTTATTTTGCTTGTCAAAAACAACAACAATCATAAAACGTCTCATACCTCTCTTTTGCGCACCAATTCAAGCTCTGTTGGATTGTTGATAGTATTCTTTGACCTTATTAAACTTTAATAAGGTCAAAGAATACTATCAGCAAGGGACGCAGGGCCATAAAAGCGTATTTTAAACTTCGTGGGCAGTGAGGTGAAAGGAAGTGCGATTTTTTCAGTCTTTTGTTTGCTGTTCCCTTTCAGTGATTCGATCGTCATCTGAAAATTGTCTTTGTATAGATTTAAATCACACAAGTAAACAGCGCGTTCATATTAGAGAACTTACGCACCAAGCGCGAGAATTTTGCTTGAAAAGAGCAATAAATTATATCAGCAAGGGTCGAGGGCATAGAACCGTGTTTTAAACTTCGTGGGCAGTGAGGTGAAAGGAGGTGCGATTTTTTCAGTCTTTTGTTTGCTGTTCCTTTTCAATATATTAATTAATGAAAATGAGCTTTCTTTTGTTTGATTTAAATCACACAAGTAAACAGCGCGTTCATATTAGAGAAGTTACGCTCCAAGCGCGAGAATTTTGCTTGAAGAGAGCAATAAATTATATCAGTTTAAAAGGGTCGGGGGCACAGAACCGTGTTTTAAGCCTCGCTGGCAGTGAGGTGGAAGGTGTTATTTTGTTCCTTTATTGTTTACTTACGCTCTTCAATGCATTCAATGGGATGTGATTTTTATTCAAAGAAGTTAATTCTTGTTCAAACAAACGACTGTAAAATATAACCGTCATTTACATGAAGAATAAACTTTCCTGGCGCAGAATTCAAACAGTGCCAACTCGGCAACAGAATATAAGCGGGCTGTTAAAACCACTGATCAGAGCGCCGCGATCAAACCACCTGAATTGTAAGTTCTCGGCTCCTTCGATTCAATCCGTGGTTAAAGTTCCTTATAATTGTTACTACGATGTTTACCATAAAAAATGAAGTATGTTTTCTTAAAATTTGCAGCCAGTACGCGAAGCGCAAAATAAACAATACAGTTCGGGTTTGTTCGTCTCAAATCTCGTCTGTTCGGCACTTGCCTCACCCCTCACTACTGCGTCGTCCGTTTCGCCAGTCAACTAACAGTCCTACCCACCCCCTAAGGGGAAATTGCTCCATACTTCGGTACCGCCGAAAATTCAAATCTCATCGGAAAGAAGTAATCGGTAATGTTGAAATTTGCCGTGCGAAAAAGCTATTGTTTCACGTTGATCGTTTTTGTCCTTAAAAGGCAAGAAACGATCAAAAATAGCAATACAAAACAATACCCATTGTGCTCGAATTCAGGTCGCTTTTCTTGATACGAAAATACATTTATCGTAACAGCTACCACTCTAAAAAAACGAGAATTTCAGACGAGAAACACCGCCGTTATTATAAGGTGGACTGGCTTGACGATTTCTTTCTCTCGTCTCCAATTTCCTCGCTTTTCGTCGCGTTGGCCAGCGTTATTTAATGCCTCATTCAGTTTTTCTTCTAAAGTTGCGTACGTTTTTTAAAACAGTAACGGGTAACGAATCCTTGTTATTAGGTCGGTAGCGGCTTGAAATGTCATCATCTGACTAACAAACCTGAGGCCGACGGTGCACTCATTATACGGGTATTTTAAGATACTTAAAGTTGCGTGGAAAGGAAGAAAGTCGAAGCAAGGATTTGAGGTGACACTAGGGAATCGAACTCTTCTCGGAACCTCTCGCAAAGAGAAGGTTTTTTGTTTTGCCTTCATGGAGGTTTATTAAGTGCCGCTCTGTAACAGTGTTGTTGTTGTCTTGCTTCAGCTGCAGTACGGTGAACCGGTGATACGCCGTGCAGTTCCATTGGCTCTGGCCCTCCTTTCAGCTTCTAATCCTCAACTAAGTATCATCGATACTCTCAGTAAGCTGTCTCATGACAACGATGCCGAAGTGGCACATAACTCTATCTTCGCCATGGGAATTGTAGGAGCAGGTACGTTTGTTACTGTAGCTTTATTGTCGGGGAGTGAGAGGAGGAACTCCAGGAAAGTCTCAGTGGGTATACTCCACAAAATCTTACCCAATTGCACACTTGAACCACTGTTTCTAAGAGTGATAGAGGGATTTTCGTATGACCTTGAAATCGCGCCAACAAAACAGAAACAAACGAGCGGAAATAAAGCGATTTGATTGGTTTATCGAACGGATACAAACGCGCGTGGCTTTTGGTTGGTTAAGCGAACGTTCGGGTGAAAAAACTTCACGCCCGAGAACTTTCTAGAAATCAATCGATACTTCTCTTTGACGTCATACTTGAACACAAAAGGCCAATCGAACAATGCCTTCTCCATATTAGCGTTTCTTTGGTGGGAAAACGAAGAGGCCATGTTTTGATCTTTTCATCCATTGGCTGATAAAACAAATGACGAACACTCACCAAAACCACTTTTCAAGGACATGCGAAAATCGCTCTAAACAAATAACCAGTTCAAGAATCTGGCTCAAAGCGCAAAACCTTACCCCATTTCAGACCAAAAAATGGCTAAAATCTATACACCCAACCTCAGACTAAATAAACCATACCCTACCTTATATAGGGGACTTTCCCCCGCGCTCTAGTCTAGATTCATTTTGTGGTTAACGAATCACTAATGATCAAACCCCAAAGAAACCAAAAACAGAAAATTTTGTATCTCCAAAGTAAGACTAAACTGCAGTAAAAAAATAGAATAACCCAATTCCTGCCAAACGGTCTTTACCTCACTGAGTTGTAGGATCGAGTTTTAACATGCATCAATATTGTGTCCAAGGTAAATTTCGTGTTCATCTTCGTTGATAGTACTCTTTGAGCTTGACCTTCTCTTTTCAAAAACTATTTAACTTACAGTATAAACGTAGTGTGGCTCGTGACAGTGAATCTCAAGGAGAACGGGCATAACCGAAGATATTAATTTAGATTGCGAGCAGTCTCTTATTTTTTTTTTGAGTCACAGTAGATCGAGAGCGCGTGTGAGGGGCCGCGAGGAACGAGGGCGGAAGCCCGAGCGAAGAAAAATTAATATCTCCTCCTTTTTTTCGCTTGCCGTGCGTGGCTCTGAGGAAAGAAAGACGACCGCTTGCGGTCTAATGTTAATTATGTACAGCTATAAAATCTGAGTTGTACAGTGCACTTGCGTCCAGAGTTCAGATGATCTTTATGTGTTACCTGGGAATACATATTTTCGCAGACAAATGATGCAAGTTGTTCTGTAAATTTATTGTGCACAGGTACCAATAATGCCAGACTTGGTGGAATGTTACGGCAGCTGGCCATGTACTACCACAAGGATGCTAACAATCTGTTCATGGTGCGACTTGCACAGGTCAGAAGGGGTTAATTTTTAATAGACTTTTCACAGTCCCTTATTTTTCCGTAAGATCGTCGAGATCGAAAACTTTGCGTTCCGGGGGGCCATCTTGGATGAGTGTCAAATCTACTGATGAAACCAAGATGGCCGCCCGTACGATAAGCGCTTGATCCTGACGATCTGACGAAACAATAGGGAATTGTGGACAGCGTAATTAAAAAAAACTTAGATAAACACAGTTGAGTGTGTTGGTGCAGCATCGGTTGGGCGTTTAAACCCTGAAGTTGAAATTTGCATACACCGCAGTAATTGTCCATCCTTACACAATCAAAAACATCCGCATCTACGAACTATTTCAGCGCGCTCCTAACACTTGCAATGCTCCGTGCTGAAGTCCCAAGGAGATTTAAAAGCTTAAGCAACCACGACGGCGACGGTGACGGCGACGGCGACGGCAGCGAAAGTGTATTCCCGTTATTTCACGCTTCATCCCCGGCGATTATTCCAACTCGCGGCACAATTTGTCAAATGCTGGTGGATGTTCCTAAAGCGGTGTTTAAGTCCTCTACTAAACGTCACGCAAGAGAATTTGACATTTTAGTCGTCCTGTGACGGCCAGGAAATGTTCCAGAAAGTGTGATGTACGTGCAGAACTGTTGTTTTTCCTATAAAACCTGTTGCTTTTTCATGTTCCCGTTGCCGTCGCTGTAATGTTTGCTTTCACTTCTCTATCACAACTCTTCCAATATCAGCAACTACATAAATGGGAATTTGTGAAATATGACCAACTTTGCTACACGGCAACTTCCGTTAGTGCCTTTGCATGGTGGCTGTGGGAAAAGATTTCTGGACCAACAATTTCTTTTTGCTGTTTATCGTCAGGGCTTAGTTCATCTTGGTAAAGGAACCCTTACACTTGGTCCTTATCACTGTGACCGTTCCCTAATGATGCCAGTAGCTGTAGGTGGCCTCTTGTCTGTTCTCGTGTCATTCTTGGATGTCAAAAATGGTAAGTTACTCGTCTCGTTCCTAATAGGCCCTTTCTAGAGCTTGGTCACGTGCTTGGATACCGCAAAGCAACGGCTCGCTCGATGGCAAGCCATCCAGGCGTTCAATCCGATCACAAAGCTTAGTGTGCGATCGAGCAACGCATTCCTAGTTTAATTATTGCGTGGAAAATTAATCAAAATGACTGGACTAGAAGAGTTTAAAGGCGTCATTGAATTAACCTTGGAAGGTTTTGCCCGATCGCGCTCAAAGTTTTGTAATCTTAATGAACGCTTGTGTTATCCAATTACATGACCAGGTTCTGCAAAGGGCAAATTAAGGTGGTACTCTATGGGTAACCGTTTAGTGCGCTTTTAACCGTTCTCGGAGTCAATTCGAACAGAAAGAATATTGAGATTTCACTTTTCATTGCTGATGTCTGAAACGTCTTAACGATACAATCTAAGTTGCTCTTGCACACTTGTATTTTTCTTACTTTCGATCATCGAATTAAAAGTCTTCTGGAGACCATAATTATTATCATAAACTTCCAGTAAAACGGGGGTACCTCATGACTGGCAGTGCGCAAAAAAAAACTTTTAACACATCACGAGAATCTCAGGCCACTGAAATGGAGCGATAATTTGAAGTTTCGTCAACTTTTCATACTCTGGCTGGTCACTTGATTCATAAAATGCGTATCATTGCTTCTTTAATTATCCAAGAATTCTGCTTGCCAGAAAGAGTAATTTCAATCACTTTCTAACCTAAGTAACCTAAGTTCTTCTTTCCACGCCCAGCTGGGCTTAAATTGAGAGCCTCACCGAGTGTTTGCGAGACGTGTATCTCCAGTCGAACCGAACTATTCTCACTGTATGTTTTTCCTGTCTTCAGTTATCCTCGGCAAATCGCATTATGTCCTGTTTAACTTGGTGTCAGCCATGCAGCCCAGAATGTTGGTCACATTTGACACGGACCTGCGACCTTTACCAGTTTCTGTTAGGGTTGGACAGGTAAGTGGTAGGCCTATGGTGAAAGACGCCTAAAAACAGGGGGGGGGGGGTCCACTTTTCAAGATGCGGCGCCAGGACACTAAGATAGCCTACGAGCAGGTTCACTTTCCCTGGCGCGCTGACGTACAAGTGAGTCTGCTCACAGGCTGGGTACCAGGATGACTGGTGTTATCTGAAACGTTGAGGCTCCCGACGTTAGAACGAAACCAGTGTTTGTCTCGACAAAAAAGCTCTTTCGTTACGGCGAATATGCTTTTCTTATTTTGCTCGGATAACACAGAACGACGCAAACAAAGAAGAAAATTAAGCAGTTATGTTCGATGGATGAGCGCGATTATCCTATCGTTGGCCATTAATTTCATAAATAACAGCGTGTACATATGGTCACAATTTTGGGCGCCCCATGTGATGCTCCCAGATTTTTTCGGTTTCGCTTAACTTCTTTGGCAAAGGTGAATGGGAAGTGTGTTTTTCTTCCTTTATTCCCTGTATGCGAGTCTGTGTTGCAGCTCATGACAATGACCTTTACCCCGCTCATAGAAAATTGCACGTTTGACACTCTTTCACCCCCACACCCAACCCCAAGATCGCAGGCTAGGTAGCTCTCTCCCAACGAAAGGAACTGTGCTGCAAAAGTTAGGCAAATTGAGCCTGGTGTTACCTGGTCGCCCGTTTGAGTGAAACCTGAAAATAGTTGGGAGGAATATTTTGATATAACACAGCAAGGGCAAAATAAGGCATGGATAGGCCAGGATATGATAGCAAATAAATTTCAGCCTAAGAGTTTCTCAAAGTTCATCTCTCTTGATTGAAATTTTAGTTAAGTCGTTCTAGGTACAAATTTCTTCTTCACAAAGCTATGATTTTTTTTTATTTACAAGTAATACCTTCTTGAACGTTAAGCTCTTTTCCGAGTAAAGGCGAGAAAACAACAACAACAACGAGGGTTGCTTCTGCGTAACGGAACGTTTTATTCCAGGTACTGGTTTTGAACCTCATGACAAGGCGATCGTGTTTGGTAGAATTTGCGGTCATTTTTCGTAGAGTTTGCTAACCTGAGAAAACAACTTACATTTCGCGAAGCCACCACTGCTTTCACCGCGAAACGACGTCTGAGGAATGAGCGCAAAAATTTTATGCTGGTTGAAGCATTCCATTCCATGATTGGTTGATGCAAATTCCTCATTTGCTGTCATTGCCAAATTGGTGTTTTTTTCCCAGACATCATTTTTGGGGGCAATCAGTGCTGGCGTCGCGAAATGTTGGATGTTTTCTCAGGCTAAGCGGAGGATGGACGCTTTTGTGCTTGTACACCAGCTTGGTCGACGTGACGTCAGTTGAAAACAAGCAATAACAATTAGTTGGACGCTTTGTTCTATTTACATACATTGACACTTGATAGAGGATTTTATTTGACATCCGTTGGTGCCATTTCATTGTAGGCAGTCGATGTTGTTGGTCAAGCAGGAAAGCCAAAGACAATAACAGGATTTCAGACTCACACTACCCCAGTACTGCTGGCGTACGGAGAAAGAGCTGAGCTTGCAACTGAAGAATGTATCCTTTATATATACTATTTGCACATTATTTTTCATCCCTTGGTTACTGAGTTTTCATTGATCTTAATGCTAACATTGTTGGATTTTTTGTTGTAGAAGCAGTTCAAGTTGTCCCTTTGAACCACTAAATCTGGTCCCTAATTTTATTCTTAGTCTTAAATCCTCCATCATTTAAAATCTTATTCTTCACGTATTGATTCCTTTCTTTCAGAGAATCTCTATTTAAGTTAGCGCTTCGATATTGAGTACAGTGAAAAAGTGAACGCGATAACAAGTTTGTAATTTGTTTTTCTTAAATAAGGCTGTTATTCTCCCTTAACCTTCAATTAACAGATATTTCCCTTGCGCCAATTATGGAGGGTTTCGTCATCTTAAAAAAGAACCCTGAATACGAGAAATCAGAGTCTTGAGGTTGTGAAGAACATCAAGTCTGTAAATACGCTGCGCACTTGTCTCGATACTAACCACCGTACCGTCTTTCTTGGACTGGATCGCCTTGTTTCGGAGTAGTTAAAAACTAAAACTTCTTTTAGTTCTCATGTAGGGAGATTTGAAACCGAGTGTTACCGAGACAAGACCTAATGTTTTAGCAAATAAAATTCTTTACAATATGTTGATTCTTGTTTTCATTCTTTCAGTTGTTGCTTTCGCTTTTGCTTTTATCACTTTGTTAAAATGGTAAAGCCGAGAATCTTCGAAACAGTTGGAAAGAAAAGCTTCTTTGACACAAGATTGTATTTGCGCTCTGGGATAGTTATTACACTACGACTATTTAGGAAACAAAATGATCAAATTGTTCCCCCGTGTCCTTTGTTTGGATCATCTCAGCCTCGCTAGTAAGCTGGATTGCGATATATCGAAAGACCCGGTTCATTAGAATAGGGGAACTTTGATTTTTTTTTTTATGTCTCGAAACTAGTTGATATCTATCTGATTTCATTTGCGGAACGTTACTCTCGTGCCATACGGAGGAATTTCCTCTAAACAATTGATAAATGTGGGCGAAGTCCTGCCCCCTTTTAAAGTAGTGAACACTTTTTTTGTAATGAGCAAAGGTCATAGTAAAAGATAAACGCCATTATTACGCATTTGCGAAACGTAAATCTTGAAAAAAATTTAGGCTTGAACGAAAAAAAGCATGGTGTCTGTTTTATTACAGCGTGAAAGCTGGAATTGTGGAAAATTTCCTTTCCGATTTCTTAAACGTGCACATATTATAGTTGTTAGGGAAGGTACGTTATTTATTGACGGGGGGGGCTTTGGAGAACAGGGTCCTTAGTAAATAAGGGTCAAAACTGTTTTATTCTCAACCGGGGGAGGGTCACAGTTTTTTTGGCAAGGAAAAAATTACCCCATGTCGCTTCTATTTTGTATATACAAGCAAAGCTACCAGTCAAGATTAATCTAAATTATTTACAGGTGTCGAATGGCAGAAAACTATTTGAGAATTCAGTATATTCGCTCTTTGGGTTCGGGAACCACCCCAGGTCTTCATCTTTTCACTTCTCTGGACTTGCGCTTTCACTTGTTCCCGCAGCCGATGTGCTACCAACATAGTCAGAGGAGTAGCGGGCATCCTTTTTAGAATGGCGAGTCGGAAAACAGCCACAATAGCCACAAGTTGCTCCATCTGACCTCATGAAATCCTCGCATTCACCACAAGCTCATTTCCCTCTTTCTATTCCTCGTACATCCTTACCCATTTTCAAGTTTTCACCGAACGATCACACGCCAC